TTGGTCGTGGTCAGATTTGAATTACATTGACCAGAATAGCGGAAGTTATGAACATACCTACAATTAAAAGAACACCGAGGATTTGGAAACTGGGTCATCTGCTCTATGTGACCTACTTGATGCAACATCACTTTTATGCAAAAACATATCTTGCTTTGGTAAGTGGAATTGCGATTACACAGTGTCACCAGGAACACAGGAAGGCAGGTAAACGTGGTGTCTCAGGGGATGGGGGGCACACGAGGGGAACGTGGTGCAGGGACAGGGGTGGTGCATGGGTATGGGGGTTGGGGGACATGGTGAGGGGACGGGGCATGGGGTTGGGGGGACTGGGCAGTGAGTATGTGAGGGGGAGACAAGTAGGGGTGTGATGTGGGAACAAGGGAGGTATGGGGGGATGTGGTTCAGGGACAGAGTGGAGCATGGTACCAGGCAGGGAGGGACACTAGGGGTAGGGATCATGCAGGGACACAGGCTGCAGGGGCCGTGGTTCCGCCTTTGCTTTGGTGAGTAAACTGGTTGGGTGAACACAAGCGTGGGGTTTGCACAAGAGCTCACAGAGCAGCTCGGCTAAAGCAGGTGTGGCAGGGTCCTTCATTCTAAGACTTCCCTGCTCTGCCCACAGGAGAGAAGCCTCGTCAGAAAACCCACAGGCAGCAGTGACTTAGAGAGTGATGCGCTGCCAGGCTGCACAGCTGCTTCATGCAGGTGTCCTGCTGAATCTTAGTTTACATTCAGCTTCTTCTGCATTAGTAGAGAGAAGATTGTTTTCACTGTAAAAGATGAATAGACTGGGCAGCAGCGCTGCAGTTTGGATGAAAATACAGCCTTTGAAACTTCCTCTGAAGGTCATTTCTCAAAACTCTTTTTACATAGTAAAGCTGCCACTATCCTGTTGCCCACTTGCACCCTGTCTCCAAACCCACCACCCTGCTGCCCACCTGCCCTCTGTCTCCACACCCACCACCCTGCTGCCCACCTGCCCTCTGTCTCCACACCCACCACCCTGCTGCCCACCTGCCCTCCATGTCCACACCCACCACCCTGCTGCCCACCTGCCCTCCATGTCCACACCCTCTACCCTGCTGCCCACCTGCCCTCCATGTCCACACCCTCTACCCTGCTGCCTACCTGCCCTCCATGTCCACACCCTCTACCCTGCTGCCTACCTGCCCTCCATGTCCAC